GGCTGGACCCGGCCCCCCGGCGGGGTTCGGGGATGGATTACAGGCTGGGAGCTGTGGGGCACTGGGGACGGCTCTGGTTTCCTCCAGCTCTCGTGGTGTCGGAGTCCAGCTCCGGTCACCCGTCACAGCCACGCGCCACACCGGCCCTGAGTCCCTTTGTCACCCACCCCGCGGACCCCTCGGCCGCTCCCGCCTTGCTCCGTGCCTCAGTTTCCCCCGCGACCCCGCTTTCCTCCTGCTTATCTCGGGTCACGGTGGGTAACAAAGGAGCTGCCAGGGCCCTGCCTGCGCTGCCTAATTAGCCAGATGAAATCAATTCAGCTCCATTACGGTCAGATCCAGGTCTCAACCATTACCAAGGCGGCCGGAGAGCCCGGGGAAGGATGATGAAGTGGACGCTACAGGGCATGCGATAACCCCCTTGGCTCCGATGAGGGGACGCGGGGAAGGGAGGGCTTTGTCCTTTGGGGGCGCGTGGGGTGGGGTGGCTTTGTGTTGCGAAGTCCCAAATCCACCCCAGACCCTTTGGTGAGGGGAGTCAGGCATCCCGGCCGGGGTATGGCGTCAGCATACCTGAAGGGATGCCCAAGGTGATCCCCATAGCACAGCCAAAAAGTCCCTCTCGGGGATGGGGATGGGGATGGGGACATGGGCTCTGCATCCCGGGCACGCATCATCCCTGCATCCTGGGACCCTGGGCACACATCATCCCTGCATCCCTGCATCCCAGGCACACATCATCCCTGCATCCCGGGATCCTGGGCATGCATCATCCCTTCATCCTGGGCATGCATCACACCTACATCCTGGGCATGCTTCTTCCCTGCATCCCAGGCACGCATTATCCCTGCATCCCGGGATGCTGGGCACACATCATCCCTGCATCCCGGGCACTCTTCATCCCTGCATCCCAGGATCCTGGGCATGCATCTTTCCTGCATCCCAAGCACGCATTATCCCTGCATCCCAGGATGCTGGGCACACATCATCGCTGCATCCTGGGCACTCTTCTTCGTTGCATCCCGGGATCCTGGGCATGCATCATCCCTTCATCCTGGGCATGCATCACACCTACATCCTGGGCATGCTTCTTCCCTGCATCCCAGGCACGCATTATCCCTGCATCCCGGGATGCTGGGCACACATCATCCCTGCATCCCGGGCACTCTTCATCCCTGCATCCCAGGATCCTGGGCATGCATCTTTCCTGCATCCCAAGCACGCATTATCCCTGCATCCCAGGATGCTGGGCACACATCATCGCTGCATCCTGGGCACTCTTCTTCGTTGCATCCCGGGATCCTGGGCATGCATCTTCCCTACATCCCAGGCATGCATCATCCCTGCATCCCGGGGTCTTGGGCATGCATCTTCCCTGCATCCCAGGCACGCATCATCCCTGCATCCCAGGGTCCTGGGCACCCATCATTCCTACATCCTGGAATCCCACGCACTCTTCATCCCTGCATCCCTGGATCCTGGGCACTCATCATTCCCGCCTTCCAGGTTCCCCAGGGCAGCACATCCCCTCCAGCTCCTCTTCCCCAGCCAGAGCCTCCCAGCTCCAAAGTGACCCTTTTTCTCCCCGAAAGCCCTCCATCCCCCCCCGCCCCGTGCCCGGCGGCCACCCCGGAGCAGGCGGGTCCCAAGCGCGGGGTGGGGGGGAGGAAGAGATGGATTATTTTATTATCGACCGGTTTCACGAGTGCGGGGTGTCCCCACCGACCGGGGACCGAGAAGGGGGACGAAGGAGCAGCCAAGCCACGGGGTG